ACGAGCATATGCCATACAGTGTACTATGAGGGAAATTTTGCCTGGGCAGCGGGGCTACGGCCTACTCTTATATCGAATTCCAACTGCCAAGGGATCTTTTACGTGCATGCCAATGTCTACACGGGACCTCGGTTTTTCGTCCCATAACGACTAGACAGCTGTCCGTCTGTCAGTTCCTCCGTCCTGCATCACTGACAAGGGAAACCACGCCGGAAAATCAGGATGAACTTTCTCGGCCAATACAGGGATTGAACACCCGATCTCCAGGCTAGCGAGCCAGCGTCTTACCCACTTAGCCACTTGATCCCACCCTTTGGTGAAAGAGAGAGAGAAAGAAATAGGGTTTACCGTCCACTCGACACAAACTAGGTCATTTCGGGACTAACATATGGTTTAATTTTTTATTTACATAATTCGCTTGCGCGTAGGGGTCTTTAGCAGTTGGAGGAAACCGAAGGACCCGGAGAAAACCCACGAGGTTGGACAGGCGACCCTACTCCTTGCCACGTACAACCGGGGTTTCGAAACCACGCCATTCGACTCAATGACAGACTTTATGATACAGCGCGCGCACGCTAACCATTCAGCCATCCACCACCCCCCACCCCCCCCCCTTTGTTGAAAGAAAACAGAGCTGTGGCTAGTGAAATGAAAGTTTAACGTCCTACTGTTTTGCTCTGAACTGGGCTAATGAAGATGTGCATACGCCATACAGTGTGCTATGTGGGAAATTTTGCCCGGACAGTGGCACTACGGCCCTCTCTTATATCGAATTCTAACTTCAAGGGCTCTTGTACGTGCACGCCAATGTGTACATGGGACCTCATTTTTTTGTCCCATTTTAATGACTAGACAGCTGTCTTGTCTAGCCCTCTGTCCTGCATCACTGACAAGGGAGAACCACGCCCGAAAATCTGGAGTAACTTTCTCGGCCAATGCAGGGATCGAACACCCGACCTCCAGACTAGATAGCCAGTGTCTTACCGACTTAACCAACGTGATCCCAGTTGTGGCTACAATTCCTGGATTTGAAGGTCAGGTATGATATGAAACGAATATTTTGAACCGGTTCACCAATGCAACCAATCCGTGACGGGTTAACTGATAGAGGGTTACATCCTTGATATAAATATACTTGTCGCGGGTTTTAAAAATAGAAATATATATATAAAGGTAGCTCAAAATTCATCTCTACATGTACAGAGGCCAAGGGGGGATCATGTGGCTAAGTGGGTAAGACGCTGACTCGCTAGCCTTGAGGTCGGGTGTTCGATCCCTGCATTGGCCGAGAAAGTTCATCCTGATTTTCCGGTGTGGTTTCCCATTGTCAGTGATGCAGGATGGAGGGCCTGACGAGGACAGCTGTCTAGTCGTTTGGATGGGACAAAAAAAAAACCAAGGTCCAGTGTACACATTGGTGTGCACATAAAAGATCCCCTGGCAGTTGGAATTCGATACAAGAGTAGGCCATAGCTCTGCTGCCCGGGCAAAATTTCCCTCATAGCACACTGTATGGCGTAACCTTTTGCGTCCCTTCAAAATATTTCAAATCTTTTGTCATGGATCAACCATTGCAAATATCCGTGTTACAATTATATTTGAAATGTGTTAAACCAATTCTGCAACACATGTAATATTGGTGTAGTATATATCTTTGTTTATACACCCACATATCAATTTTGGCCCTGTTTGTCCGTACACTGGGTGTGAAATGTGAATCATTCCGATTGTGAGAGGACAAGCATTATCAATATACAGCTTTTCAGGACTTTGCTTTCCTTGGTTAATTCTCCCTAGTCTAGTCGTTTGGATGGTACGAATGATCGAGGTCCTGTGCACACACTACGAATGATCGAGGTCCTGTGCACACATTGGTGTGCACGTGAAAGATCCCTTGGCAGTTTGAATTCGATATAAGAGTAGGCTTTAGCGTCGCTGTCTGGATAAAATTCCATAATAGGACACTGTATAGCATATTTCCATGTCATTAGCCCTGTCGGAATAGGACATTAAACCCATTTCATTTCACTCATTCCAAAGTTAACTTCTATTCCATCAATACCTTGAGCAAATAAGATAGAGGCTATAGGTTTTGGCCCAATTTGGTCAATATCCCAGTTTTTTCTTTCTTATATGCATATCAACACTTTCATAGCGCTAATGTAGACCTTTTTCTTGAACATTTTCCCGTGTCAGTGATGCCGGACAGAGGACCTGACATGGATGGCTGACTAGTCATACGGAAGGGACAAAAAAACCAAGATACAGTGTAAACTCAAGTGTGTGTGTGTGTGAAAGATCCCTTGGCAGTTGGAATTTTATATAAGAGTACGCCATAGCTCTGCACACTGTGTGGCATATGCCCGTCTTCATTTCTCAAACAGCTGTGGATAAAAACTGTTAATATTTAAATGTGTATTTTGTATTTTATAACATTATATTTTTGTCTTTTAAATAAAGTATATGTATACATACTTGTAGTATATTTTGTCATATAATTCTGCTAGATTTTTAACTTTTCTGTGCAATACATTTAGAATTCTGACTGGTTATGGGTAGATAGAGAGCAATGGGGTAAAACATCCAATAGACATAAACTGTCCTTTGGGACTAAGTGATTCAATTCAAGTTGAATAATTCATCCGCACCAGGAATCTTTAGTAGTAGGAGGACCCAGAGAAAACCCATGTTCAAGTTGGGTGTGGAAACAAACCACTTGACTCAATGACAGACCTTATGATCTAAAGCGCACACGTTGGACCACTCAACTTTTAGCCTCACCCACGGGTCAGGAAAATTTGATTATTGGTTGAATGTACTTCCCATTTACTGCCGCAAATAATGAATAATTTTGAAGGTTTTAATGCTCATCAAAATTTGACTTTAGAATTGCATCCGTAAATGATGTTAATTTAATGTTAGATTTACGGTATAATGATCGGTTAGATATCCATCATTTTGCTCATCCTTTTAACGACAATTTAACGTCAGGAAATGACGTTAATCTAGCGTAAAGTTTACGTCATTTTTACGTTATATTTACATCATTTTCTGACGTAAATCTAACGTAAAGTTTACGTCATTTTCTGACGTAAATCTAACGAAAATGACGTAAACTTTACGCAAATTTTACGTTAGATTTACGTCAGAAAATGACGTAAAGTTTACGTTAGATTTACGTCAGAAAATGACGTAAATATAACGTAAAAATGACGTAAAGTTTACGTTAGATTAACGTCATTTCCTGACGTAAAATTATCGTTAAAAAGATGAGCAAAATGATGGTAAACTGACTGACCATTTTTACGTAAATGTAACGTAAAATTAACATCATATTGTTATGTGGGCAAGCACAAATTATGGCATTGTATGCAAATTTCTATGAATTGTATTCATTTTATATAAAGTCTCTTTGTATATAGAACAAAAACAAGCCTGTCTTCGTTGATAGATCTCAATACCACAAGAAAATATTGTATCCACCGCCATGTTTAATGGGGTCGTTGCTGATTGGCTACAGTTTTCAGAGTTGGATAGAGGTTCTAATGGAGACAAAATAATTAGATCCCTTGGCTAAATTTTGAATTATAATTGTTTTTAGATGGATATAAATTATCTTTAACAAAACAGTTAAAATAGCTTTGCCTAGTTTCTCATATAAAAATGTAGAAATAAGTCTCCCAAACTTATTCACAACATGTCTAATTTTCACATTTCCCTTCGAGCCTCACAGTGAGTCAAACGTGTTTGTTTATGTACGGTAAATCTGTCTCCAGAATAACTTCGCCCTTCATTAAATATACGGCGACACGAGGGCGACTTCAACTTCGCCCTAGGTTCTTTGGAGGGCGAAATCAGCGGTGGTTGGGCGACTATTTCACCCACGTCGCCCACTAGTTCGAGCCCTGCCAGGTGTTTACATTACACTATTTGAGCGCGAAAAGCGCCCATTTTGTCTGGCAGTTTTGGTCCGATTTTCATGAAATTTAAACTCAGACAATATTAAGGTGTAACGATGACATAGTCGAACAATTTTTTAAATCAGATAATAATTGTGACCTCTACAGGGACCACAAGCTAAAAACACGATTTTTGTACAATCAGGGGCCATAATTCGGGAAGTTACGATTCGATATGTACGAAAATCGACAGGAACCAAGATATTTGGGTTATAAACATGCATTTCAAGTTTTATCAAAATCAGATGAAAATTTTGACCTCCAGAGGGTCCACAACCCTGATGCACAATATTTTGACACTATTTGCGAACAAGAGCCTCCATTTTGTCTGTCAGTTTCTGTGTATTACGTCTAGACTTATGGTCCTTGTTTCACTTTATTGAACCTTGTGAACGCTCTAACACCACAAGTTATCATCCGATCTATCTGAAATTTATATGCATTATTTAAATAAGTGAAACGAAGAAGCTTATTGAATTTCAGCAATTTCTGTTTATTACGTCTAGAGTTATGGCCCTTGTTTCACTTTATTGAACTTTGTGAATGCTCTAACATCAAAAGTTATCTGCCAATCTGTATGAAATTTACATGTGTCATTTACATTAGTAAAGAGAAGAATCCTATTGAATTTCAGCAAATTCCGTTTATTACTTCTAGAGTTATTGCCCTTGTTTAACTTTGTTCAACCTTGTTAATGCTCGATTGATGAAAGTTATCATCCGATATGTATGAAATTTATATGCATCATTTAAATTTGTGAAACGAAAAAGCCTGTCAAATTTCAACAATTTCTGTAGATTACTTCCAGAGACCCTTGTTTCAATTTGTAGAACCTTGTAAACCCTCAGACGGCAAAAATTATAATCTGATCTGTATGGAACTGTCTGGTAAAGGTCCCCAATTACCTACAAAGGAATAAATATGCGACAACCCTTGTCGGCCGCTTGGACATTTTAGCCGCTGTGGGCGTATGTTTCCTTGCCTGGCAACCTATCTTTATTGAAGGCTATATCATAATCGTACTGAATTTTTATTTTAAAGCAATTGTAAGTATGGTTGTCACGTGACAATGAGGTACCGGCAGAATTAAACCGGAAGCTAGGTGGCGCGCAAAGAAAGTAGGACATGGAAGTGTCAGTCTCATCTGCTCTACGCTTCACTGACAATCATTTTCATTCTCAGCGCCCGTTTTGGTTTTCTGTGTGAATTATATAATGCCAGCTCGTTGTTGCGTACCGATGTGAAATGGGAAAGGTGGGCATAAATTTCCGCTGAACCCTGTTGAGAGACGGCGATGGATTCAGGCCGTAAAAAGAGGAGAAAGTGACTGGACACCGTCTAAGTGGAGTATTGTTTGTCGATCGCATTTTGATTCTTCTGACTACATTTCCGAAACCAAAGAAAGTAAGTTGACAAAATACATTTTTATATTTTTACTTTTTTTAGGTATTGGATTGAGAAATATTTTCAATTAGATCTAGTCCATAGTTTTAAGGATTACAATTTCGTCGTTCGCTGGCAAGAGGAACTAGAAATTTTAGGCCTATCAAAACGTGTCACTATACTAGGTCTATATTAGTATTTTATGACTAGGCTATACCAGGAGGGCCAAAGGACAGCTGGTGGCAATCTACTCTTACTCTTACTTAGGCCTAAATAGAAAACAGATCTTGTGTATAGCCCTTGGTAAAATACTGTATATTTGCAATACTACAGCAATTAAGGCCTAGGAATGATTCTCATTTAATTAAAATTTAGCCTAAATTTAAGGCCAAATTAGGCATGCCTATCTGAGTACGGTATGCCTATCTTGGTAAAACTAAAATGCTGTATATTTACAATACTACAAGTACAACAAGGCCTAGGAATGATTCTCATTTAATTAAAATTTAGCCTATGGCTATCCTATGCCTATATGAGTAAAAAAAAAATAATTTTTTTTTGTACTACTAGACTACCGTTAAATCTACCGGTATTTGATTGTATTTTTAATATTAATTATTCCAGGGGATCAAATGGTCAATAGTATATTGAAGCCAGGAGCGATTCCACATTTATTTGCTTGGAAAAGAACAAGTTTATCAGGTAGTAGGCGCAGAAAAAGAGCCCTACATAAACAACAAAGTATTAACAAAATCGAGAGACTGGAAAGCTTGTCAACTTCTGAAAATGTAGGAAACGAAGTTGAAATAGAATACATCGAAGAGGACTTTACTCCTATCGAAGGTAGGTTTAATTTACAAAAATGAAGGGAAATTCTTATGTTTTGTGAATGAAACATAGGATTTGTCTAATAATTACGATACTTTGCTGAAAGACAGTTTTAAACTTATAGACCCGGTATTGTACAAATTAAAATGCAAAGGACTCCTACTAAGTGGTACTACTACAAGCCCATGCCCCGGCCCATACCCCCTAATTTCTGATATTATGCTCGATAATAATTCTAAATTCATTTGGATAATAGCTACCCCCCCCCCCCCCCCCCCAATGTCTTGAAATTGATGTAGCGACTCCCTACTGCTATTTAATATAAATTATATCTGGATTCTTGCAGCGAAATATACCCATAATGGTATTAAACATAAACTATTCACTTTACGGATGACCAGGCGCTGACGAGTTGTAAGTAGTAGAACTCTGAAACTGAAAGCGATAGTCCAACACCACCTGGCCTGAGTTACCCCATTACACCAAATTTCAGCCTCAGGACAGTCGTAGCGAAGCCACCAACCCGGAACAGACAGACATATAAACAACAGTCACAAATATTAATATAGCTATATACCCCTAATTGGCCTCCGCGTTTAATAAAATATTATTGTTTAATGTTTGAAATTTACAAAAAAATTTTTTTTTCTTTTCTTTCAGTTAAAAGTGAACCTGATACAAAAGACTCTGCTACTCAAGTTGATATGTCAATGCGCTTCTGTGCCCGACAATACATGTTGAGTTCGGAGAAATTTCTATGTTATACTGGACTAGAAAGCTATGATGCTTTTATGTGTTTGTTTTACTCGTTTGGGCCAGTAGTTGATAAACTTAGGTATTTTTATGGGACAAAACCTAAGATGTCAACAGAGGACCAGTTTTTTCTGACTTTGGTTAAACTTAGACTTGGGAGGAGTAATTTTGAGTTGTCTGACACATTTGAAATATGTGAAAAAGAGCTTATGAACATATTTATAACATGGATAAATTTCATGTATTTTCACTTTAAGGAAATTAACTGGTGCCCATCCAAAGACTTGGTAAAGTTTTACAGTCCTGCAGACTTTAAGTCTAAGTTTCCGACAACAAGGGTAGTAATTGATGGTACGGAAATACCAATACAAAGGCCAAAACAACCAATTATTCAGCAAGGCACATTTTCCACATATAAAAACAGAAATACAGATAAGGTCCTTGTAGGTGTTACACCAGGGGTCTTGTGAGTTATGTGTCCGATGCATTTGGTTTTGCAGCCAGTGATAGGCAGATATGCGAGAGAAGCTGTCTAATGAATTTATGTGAATCTGGTGACACTGTCATGGCAGATAAGGGGTTTAATGTTCAAGATCTGTTCATACCGTCAAATGTGGAAATTAACATTCCAGAATTTTTAAAAAAAAAAGAACAGGATGTCTGAACATTCAGTAGCAAATGATCGAAAAATAGCCAGCAAACGAGTGCACGTTGAACGAATTATCGGACTAGCCAAGACATTTAAAATATTGAAAAAACCTCTAAATAATACAGAATCAAATTTGTCAGATGCAATTATTTCAGTTTGTTTTTATTTATGTAATTTTAGACCAGCCATTGTCCACAATGATGCCTAAGTTGACGTGTATTGATCTTGTAACATTGGATAGAATAAAACATATTAACTCTGATATATTTTTATTTATTAAATAAATATTTATTCAAAATGGCATTCTTAAAATGTGAATCATAGATAGGGTGACCCACCATAAATAAATATCTCCAAATATCTCGACAATTACGCCACAATATTTATATATATGCCAAGCCTCAAATCAGTTTCACACAATTATAGTCACTAAATAAACGATCATGTTGTACTTAATAAGCTATGACCATTAATCATCTATAAATAATAGACTGAAAACTGGTTCCAAGTTGCGTCCATAACATCCAGACACTTTTGAGTAAAAGATAGGTTACGTGCCCTTGTTTTGAAATTAGTCTCGCTTAACCAGTCTATCGACCATTCTACGTCTGATTGACAGGTCGGGATAATCAAGACTACTTTTTTACGAAACATAACAGAAAGCTAGAACAAGAAATTGAATTTAGAAATAAGCACTTTAGACAACTCAACAATTGTTTTAAGAAACTTGTAAAAGTAAAATGAAACTACTGCTAGTATCATGTTCCTGCTAAAGAAAGTGATTCAGAGATAGTATTTGTACTAAACCAAAAGATGCCGCTCTTAACGGTACAGTTAATGATAAAGCAATTTAAAAAATAAAACAAACGTAATTACTAAAGCTGCTGTAATAACCAAGAAGCTAAATTTTACTGCTATTCAAAATCGTCAACAATAGATTTTTTACGGCTGTAATAGTTGATATATTTGTAGAGAATTGCACGTGCCATGGCTATTTATCGACTCAAAGCAAGTGCGGGGTAGTCAGAAATCAGTTCGAGACACGCAACTGAAGCGTGCACATTTAGCCGTGTCGAGACCAACTTTCTGTAAAGTGCACGGGTCATCCTATCATAGAAACTTGAGAGTCTATTCAACATTTCCATAACAAATTCATGATCATAAAAGATGTCTATGATTTTTATGTCTGTCAAAGTAAAAACAATAAACTTGCACTGTCTCCTATCCGCACAAAACAACTGCCCTTGTATTTGATAGTAATAGTTATGGTAGGGTGACCCACCATAAATAAATATCTCCATATATCTCGACAATTTCGCCACAATATTTATATATATGCCAAGCCTCAAATCAGTTTCACACAATTATAGTCACTAAATAAACGATCATGTTGTACTTAATAAGCTATGACCATTAATCATCTATAAATAATAGACTGAAAACTGGTTCCATGTGTCGTCCATAACATCCAGACACTTTTGAGTAAAAGATAGGTTACGTGCCCTTGTTTTGAAATTAGTCTCGCTTAACCAGTCTATCGACCATTCTAGGGCTGATTGACAGGTCGGGATAATCAAGACTACTTTTTTACGAAACATAACAGAAAGCTAGAACAAGAAATTGAATTTAGAAATGAGCACGTTAGCTAGCTCAACAATTGTTTTAAGAAGCTTGTAAAAGTAAAATGAAACTACTGCTAGTATCATGTTCCTGTCTAATCCGAGTGTTTCTGAGATATTATTTGTACTAAACCAAAAGATGCCGCTCTTAACGGTACAGTTAATGATAAAGCGATTTAAAAATGAAACGAACGTAATTTCTAAATCTGCTGTAATAACCAAGAAGCTTAATTTCACTGCTATTCAAAATCGTCAACAATAATTTTTTTACGGCTGTAATAGTTGATAGATTTGTAGAGAATTGCACGTGCCATGGCTATTTATAGTATCATACTGTCAGAAAGTTGGCCTCGACACGGCGAATGTGCACGCTTCAGTGGTAGTCTCGAACTATCAGCGGTGGACTGTATTTCTGTAGGTGCGTGGGCCACCCTAGTTATGGGTTTTTTTTAGGGTTAACTTCCCATCAGTTATGGTCAGATATGGAACCGTTGTTCAGAAATTAAATAATTTCGTGCTGAGTACGGGCACTTTACCTCTACCAGAGTTTCATCGTCAATGACTATCTGGTGAGGCAGCAAGCATAGGGTGTGTCTCACTAACAAAAAGTCCACAACTCTTAGTTTTAGTGTTTGTCAATGTCTCAAAACTCTCCACTGCCACACTTTCATATTGTCTCCCATACATAGTTTGTTTAGTTTTTAGATTTACTGGGTGTAATAGACCCCTCAGTAGCATATCAATGTCTCTCTTTATAGTGGCCTTGCATATATTTCCAAAATTAGAAGATGTAATTCGTTTTCGTCTTTCTGTTGTCCACCTGTCACATGCACTTTGGTATTTGGTTTGCTGCTCAATTTCATAGATTTCAGCCTTTGAAATACAGGATACCTGAAATTACAGTAAATACAAGAAATTATTATCCGATTAACATTTAAACTTAAGATGCATTATTTAAGATATCAACTTAAAATTGGCATCAAGAGTTGATTATGGTCTTGTCATGTTAATAAATGTCTAATTAATAATTTATATATCATTTAAGGCCCCAAAAAGACCTGCAATAGGCAGATTTAGATATTACATAATGACTGTTTATAGAGGAACACTACAATAATAATCTAATTACTGTTACAGAGTCAAACCATTTGTGATCTTTAATAAAGTACAAGACTGTAATTTATCTTATAACAAATAACTGTTTTAAACTAAAATAATACCTTTTCAGTCTTGAGAAAGTGATCCTCCATTGTCAGCTCCATGTAGTCATGGTCAGCTGCTAAGGCTCTTATGTTGGCTGATTCATACATTTGTAGCACAGGCCACTTTGATTTTCCCTGAAACAGAAAAGGTTGTCATAGTACAGGATGATGGAGTTAAGATTTATTTTTCCTAATGACATAAATCACTCAAAAATCTTAAGATTGATCAAATATGAAAACCATCAATTAGCTCACCTGCCAGTTAAGTACCATGTTTCTCAAGTTTTGTTCATTTTTTGAAGAATTCTTCCTATGCACTGGTCTAGGATCATAAATAGCAGGCTTCACATTTCCTCTGATTCCACTCAGGTTCCTTGTTTTCAATGGACTACCTTTCATGGGCTTACTTTTGTGAAATTTTTGTAAAACCTGAAATGAATGCAAATATCATTAATGAATTTCCTATAATGTTTATTCCAAGTTTGAATGTATCCTAAATATAATGGAAATGAAATGGGGTTTAACGTCCTACTCTTCTGCACCTAACCTGGGCTAATTGAAGACGGGCATACGCCATACAGTGTGCTATGAGGGAAATTTTGCCCGGGCAGCGGCGCTACGACCTACTCTTATATCGAATTCCAACTGCCAAGGGATCTTTTACGTGCACGCCAATGTGTACACGGGACCTCGGTTTTTCGTCCCATCCGAACGACTAGGCAGCTGTCCTTGTCATAAATATAATGGAATATCACAAAAAATGTGTTTAACTTGTAATGCTTATCTAGACTCCCTATGAGCTTTCATAATTATCTCAGTCAGTTAGTGGGGCTTACCTAGGGTGATGTTGCAGACCAGTGTTTCCTTATGGGAGATGACACCAGGGCATTCAAGGATTAGACCTGCTGGCAGTTGGGCCTAGGGCTATAATTTTTATACTTATTGCTGTAGTACACATGACTAAGTGTTAACTAGGATATCATTATAATTAAGGCAATATCAGTTATACATCCATGCCTTACACCAAAGTAAGATCAGTATTGGTATTGAAAAGCAAATTAATCAATAAAAATTAAATATGACACATTCTGAATAGAGATAATATATATACCTGTGTGCATGTTACTTCTGTTAGAATGCTACCAGATGTGCAGTATTTCACAAGACCAAATAAAACACTTCCCACATGCTTACAATGAGCCAATGGTCCTTGTCCTACTGCACATTCACACTGAGTTTGCTCGATCACTGCATTCCTATCTATACTTATGTCCACTTTGTAGCTTGTTGATTTTTTCATTTCTGCCCAAACGTTCGAAGTTATATATGATACATCATTTATGACTACACGCACATATCTTAGATACCTAAAATAAATACAAATGTATTGTAAAAATAAAGGATAAGTTTATGTACAAAGAAGAAACTGAAAAGATGTCACAGACTGATAAGCAGTAATTATTCACTTGGCGGCTACGATCACTGAGAGGGATGACATTGGGGCAAGTTAATTAGCTCTCAATATTAATTTTTTTTTCTTCTGCAAATTAAATTCCAAAACAATTTTTTAAAATTATTACCGGTACTTTGATAAAAAAAAATAAAAGAGATGGATTTCTGGATAAAAAATATTTCCTATTTAGTGTAAATGAGTACCGTTCATAACATAGTTAAATCTTACACAAACTTTGCAAAGGTGTAAAATGAAATGAGTTACAAAGTCACTAACTCTGCCTGATGTGATAGTACATGATTGTGCTGTCAACACCTTAAATAAGATGTGACACCTATGTTTAAAAGTTACCTCTGCGCATAAAGAAGTTCAATTTTTTCATTCAACTTTTGGTCACTTAGTTGTAAGAAATCCACTACTCTCTGTTTGGTCACATTAGGGAAGTTCTGTAAGTCAAAGTGATCAGCATGGAGATCTGTATACTCGCTGATTCCAGGCAGACACATATAGAATTCTGGTGCAGGTTCATTTTTTGAGGAATTTCTGTCATCAAATATCAATCTAGAATTTAAATTAATGAAAGACTAAAATTAGACAGGATAAGTGTTATTATTAACAATAATACTAAAATACATAGCCTCGACGGCTAGCAATACCGAATGCGGTTTTACCGGTTCTGGACGAAAAGAAAATTTTAATTTAGCCTATTTATTATTGAAAGTGAAAGTATTTATTATAATTATAATATAGGCCCTATATTAATATGTATTATTTTATATTGTCTTCATATCCACCAGGTTTCATTACAATAAATTTATAACTAACAACAGTCTTTAATTGTGTAAATTATAATCGGAATAGAAAACAATAACAATCAACGAATTACGTAAACAAACACTCGTGAACACTGTTTGTTTATTTATATCTGATTAGGCCTAGAGCTATCGACTATCGTTCACTCGCGTTTCTAGCATCTATAAATCTAAAGAAAACATTGGATTATCATCACTTACCATTCAACCAAATCTCTTTTTTTTCCGGCAACTTTTAATTTACGTACGCGAAGAATTTCCTTAAGTTCTGATAACGTTTTATCACAATATTTGTCCTACTTTCTTACAGCGCCACCAGGCGGATTAGTTCTGCCGGTACCTCATTGTGCGGTGTATCTATCAATTGACGAATGAATAAAAACTTTTGCCAAGTTACATAACTAGTTACCTGATTGACAAAGACTACAAATTGTGTTATAAAGAAATGCCATGGTGCCGTATCAGCTGTTTTGACTACGGCATTTCCTGATACTGGCAATAGTTGAAAAGTGCTAATATTTTAGATCATCTACTTATGAAACGTGAACGTTTCATCGAATAAACAAGGACAGTAATTAATTTATTCTGGAACTTCAAGATGGTACGTGAATTAAATATGGAAAATTTTCAAAAGGTGTACCTGTCGTTATTTGTGTGGTAATCACATACATTAAAATACGACATTCTCCACAACAAATTACAAGGAATTATTTTTGTTGAAGTCTAGTTATATTATAGAGAATGGAGCTTATAATTAAACCATATCGTTTCAAAATGAATTAAGGACCCTTATGCTTACCCATCTCAAACATCTTGAAACAGAATGTAGTTTGAGATTATTTTGGGCATAATTCGTGTTGTCATCATATCGTGATACGTATCGCGTATCGGTTTGCCGTATCGTCAAATGTTTGTATCGAAAATGAACTGTATCGACACAGTCACTTCAAAAAATCTTCTGGACGCTCTAGAGGCCAAAGTTAATATCCGATTGACTTTAAATTTTACACAGTGTTTAAGGTCATGAGACGAACAATCCTATTGAATTTCAACGATTTCCGATAATTACTGCCAAAGTTATGGCCCTTGATCCCTTTGAAAAATCTTGTGATGCTCTAGCGGGGCATGGGGCAGAACTTTATAAAACCAAACAAATTCTAATGGTTTTCTGATAATTACTTCACAAGTTGTTACTCTTAATCAGATTTTAGTGTATTATAAATGTTTCATTAGCTGCTGTGGGCGTATGTTTCGTTGCCTGGCAACCTATCTTTGTCCGATTTGTATGCAACTTAAAATACATCTTTATATCCAAAAGATCTCAGTCCCTTTTGATATTCGCGCATTTCAGACCTTATCTTCCTGGATTACTGCCTCTGATTGTATGAAAAATCACATTTGTGTCTTTTTCCAGAAAAGCAACAAAAACACTGCTGTTTGTGAAAATGTCATTTGATAAAATGACGGTCATTATTAGGATGATATAAGTGAAATTCCAAAATTAATGGAAATAGCAAAACATTATGGGAAATAATACTGAATGAGTGTTGGGCTTAACAAAACAATCATGAAATGACCAAATACGTCTCCTATGGGGAGATGTCGTGCCCAACACAAGTAAGTAGTGACCCCTTGGGAAACATAGCCTGGGCAGCCTACACTGACGCCAGGTTGATTTGATTAGAACTCGGGTGTGAGGCTAACATCCAAGCTTCAAAAACAATCCAATAATCTAAAGGTCAACCCGCATAACCGACCCTGATCAGGGGAAGTTAGATAGAACTTATAAGTCAAGAGGATAAAGAAGGTAATCTAATATAAGATTGGACAGCTGAGCTCTTCCACCGATCTAAAACACGAATTTGGTCTTCATAGAGACCGGCCATAAATACTGTTGTAGCAGCTCCGTTATGAAAGGAGTGAAGCTTAAATTGATCCGGATTTAAGCCAAGGAAAGTCACCAGTTTGTGTAAGCTAGCATTGACAAAATTGTAACGTGCGGGTGAGCCATCTTCAAATTGAAATAATGGCCCAGAGGAGTGTGGTGTAGCTTGTAAATATGACCAAAGATTGCAGGGGCACAAGTAATGTTACTTTCGGAAGTGCATGAACAATTAAGAAATAATAATCGAGTTGGTGAAGATGTGGTTTTTATACGCCCACATGGAAATGTGAAACTTTCAATCAGTAGAAACGGGAAACACAAACCAAATACAGACGGTTTGATGGGATCAATTTTGACTAAGTCAAAATGATGCATTTGATATTCAGATAAGTTGATATAAAATAATTAATAGAATAGTTTTTTGATATTGTATTCTATTAATTATTTTATATCACAAGGCAATGTGGTCGTATATTGCCGTTGCCCCCTGTCCGTCCGTCCGTCGTCCACAATTTCTTGTGAACACTCTGCAGACTACATTTATCATCTGATTGTTTTGAAATTGATATATGTCGTTTGCATTAGTGAGATGAAGAAGCCTATTTAATTTTAATTAACTTACGTTAATTTCTTCTGGAGTTATTGCCCTTGTTTAACTTTGTTGCTCCTTGTGAATGCTCTAACGACAAAAGTTATCAACCGATCTGTATGAAATTTATATGCATCATATAAATTAATAAAACAAAGAAGCCTATTAAATTTCAGCAATTTCCGTTAATTACATCTAGAGTTATGGCCCTTGTTTCACTTTGTTGAATCTTGTGAACGCTCTAATGACAACAGTTATCATCCGATCTGTTTGAAATTGATATGCATCATTTAAATTAGTGAAACGAAGAAGCCTATTGAATTTCAGCAATTTCCGTTAATTACGCTGTGAGTTATGGCCCTTGTTTCACTTTGTTGAATCTTGTGATAGAGTGGCCCACAGCTTCTATTATCTGTACTATATAAACTGACCTGTTTTAACAGCATGTTGTCACGCGGATCTAAACTTCGATTATGAGAAAAGTGCTCTCACGGGCTCGCTCGTGCACTGTAAGCAGCAAACAGTCGCCCAAAATAGACATTCACGTGACAATATTCATTCACTTATTTATCAATGAAGCCATGTAAAAAAATTATTCTTTACTCGTCGGACTTTTAAAAATAAGAAGTTAAGAACTAGATTAAAATTTTGGCTAAAACTCGGCGATTTAATTTCTAAGTTAGTTGATTGTAACCAATGACGTATATATTGTAACGGTTCTCGTTTCAGAGTCAACTCATGTAGTTTCGCCCTTTTTCTATCTTTTAAATCCACTCTCGTGACAACATACCGACACTGCAAGACTGTGAAAGTTACTTTTATTTAACCGTAAAACTCTGTTGTTAGTGGGCGCTTTAGTTACATTGTTGCTAGCTCTAAATACGCAGAAAAAATTTGAGACTGGAAATTAATTGAACGAAATTATTTTCCCTAGTCTCGATTAACCAGACGTGTATGATTAAAATAAAATTACGGTACTGGTCACAAGACTCGGATTCTAATCATTTTAGGGCGCTGCGAATTTGGCCTCCGGTTTTGTGTCAAATTTAATAAGAGGATGTGCCATTATTGCTATGCCATTCATGTTTAGTATCCTTATGCATTTGCCATTTCTAACATGGTGGTTATAAAACGTTTCAGTTATTATAAATCCAGTAACAACTCATTTTTGTAGAACTGAAATATAACCAAAAAGATGCGCATTGACTGTTTCATAATTATAATAGGTGTACGGGCTCGATGACAGTTAGGGGGGCAGAGCCCGAAAAAATTTCGGTGTCGGTCTTCCTCGAGAGGCGAAGAAGCGGAGCTTACCTTGTATGCCCCCCCCCCCCCAAGAAAATTTTGGAATATTTGACGTTTTCCTGCTATTTCCGCCCGTGAACAAGCAACTTCAATGTGGTCTAATATAGCCTAATGACAATGGCTGACTCGAATTCCAATCAAAAGATCAACCGTTGGGAAAAAAACTGCCGCAAACGCTTTTTCCTGTTATTTCAATTCGGTCCAATGTAGCCTACCTGGCTGACCCAAATTCCAAACAACCAATCAATCGTCGCGGGTTATGGGTGCCTCACCCTCCCAGAGAAAATATTGAAAATTTAACCACCGCAAATGCGTTTTCTGCTATCCTAGCCTGTTGCAGTTTCATTCACAAATAATAATCGATGCCAGAAAAATGTCACACAAAGAATGGCTCTAGACAAAATGTTTTAATCCATAGTCAACTCAGTACAAATTCGTTGTATTCAATTAAAAGAAAAGTAAAATTAGTGTTTTATTAGGGATTGATGACAGTTAGGGAAGCAAAACTAGAAATGCCCGAAAAAATTTCAGGTTTACAGACAGCGGCGCCCGTTTTTTTCGAGAGGCGAAGAAGCGGAGCTGACCTAGTCTAGACCCCCAAAAAATTTTTGGAATACTTGACGGCCGCAAGTGCGTTTAAGTGCTATGTCAGCCCGTAAAATTAGTGTTTTATTAGATTTCGGGAACTTTATTTTGCCAAATAGATGAAATAATTTTTTTTTCACTTTACCCGTCTGCCCGAAAATTCAGCTTGCCCGAAAGTTAGGAGGGCAGCTTCCCCCACCCCACCCCTGGCTCGTACGCCTATGATAATTATTAAAAATATTAAAACGCGACACCATGCGTAAATTGTGCGTCTTACCTTCGAGAACAATAGCTATAAAACAGAAATTTCCAGATTGATACATAATACAACACAACCAAC